CGTTGCCACATACTGCAGTGCAGAAGAATGTCAGGAAGTCTGGTCTGGCTGGGGGAAATGCTAACAAACCCAATCGCAGCCAGGCAGAGCCAGGGGAGAGGGGATGGGCACCCGTGGGAACTTCAAAGGAAAGGTTATGTCTGCAAGGAAGAGAAAGGATGGCTTCTGGTCTTTGCTAGGAGAAAGGAGGTTTCACCCTCTCCCCTCTGGCTATTTGGAGACGCCCTGTGTAACTTCAGGCACAGCAGCTCCTTGGCCCCGTTGATGAATCCTTTCAATCCGCTTATAGGACTTGCCTTTTGAACTAAATAGCTGCTCTCCCCACCCAATTTTCTATCAATTTTCCATGTCAGTAACTAATGTGTCCCACATTGTGCACAACAACAGCATACAGGAGACAGGACCTCAGATTTCAGTAGATATGGTGAAGACCACAGCTGGATTACCATCAGTGTAGCCCCTCTTTTTTTCCCTTTACTAACACCACGATGACTCGAATGAACAGTATTTAAATGGCTGCAGAACAAGCACTGTACTGCCACACAAAGCAAAAGCATTTGGGGACGGGGTTCATCTGAAACCCTCCGTTTTGCACAGAGAATGGGGGTTAAGCATCTGGAAACAGATGGATGGTTTGTCATGCTGCAGCATCTGGCACGGGTCAGATGAAAACCTGGTGTGTGAGGACCACAAGCAGCCACAGTACATGTCTGACCACCCGGAAAGGAGTTGATGGATGGAAAACTGAAGAACTGTGCTGGACTACTCACTTGTCACATAAGGCTTCCTACAGGAATGTGAATATAAAAAAGATTCAGTGTACCCCTGCCTATGACAGTCTGAGACATTTTGCACATCTAACATCTACCCGGCACAATGGAAAAGCACGAAGGAGAGAATTCGAGCTGCTCGACTCCAGAAATCACTCCACACAGCAGCAACCTCCAGTAAAACAGCCTCACAGCTGCTCCAAAGTATTCCAGCTGGTAACACGTCCTCGCGAGGAGCCACCTGCTAGCTAGAGTGCATCAATACTGCACTAATACGCCTATAGTCTCCACCTCGCAGGCTATAGATGCAAGCAGCACAGCAGGCTTTTGCCATCCAAAAAGCTTGCGTAGTCCCTGGCTTGAAAGATCTGTCTTCCCTGCAAGCTCATAAGGGCTGGGGGAATCAATCCTCTGAAACAACGCCTTCCCAGTTCCATTTGTTGACAGTGAATCAGTTTGTGCTCATGAGCAATTTCGCGCACCCTTTGCATCTCACTTACGCTCTCAGATGAGCCATGAGCGAGATAAAAGTGATGTGAGCAGAGCTACCAAAGACTAAATGATGCCCCTCACTGCCTATCTCTGCTCACCTCTGTTTGCCAAAAAGCCATGAAGAGATGAAAGAGCAATGGCCACAGTGGACCTCGAGCACCCAGAAACAGCCATTGGAAAAGGCTGGGAAGGAAGATCCCCTCCCGTTCCGTGTTTGGGGAGGCATGGGCAGAAACTACACACACCACCCAAGAGGCAGCCGTTTCAGCACCCTTGTCTGCATCGTTTCGTACTAAAGTGATCTTTAAAAGGCAGAAGAGATCCCTACCCTGGGCAAACCCTTAAAATTTCTGTTTAAACATATTGAAGGAAGAAGTCAAACAACTTTTTCAAAAGGTCCTAGGTAAAAGCATGCTACTCTTGGTGATGGTACCTGCTGTGAAATGGAAGCTAGTCTGCCCTCCTGGCATTAGCAGCAGGCACAGAAACTCTTGCAGCTCCGAACAACATATCCCACATACACGAGCTCACATCTTCTCCTGGCAACATGCCTCAAAAGCAGGACTAGAGTATGAACCTTCCTGTCTCAGCGGGTGCAACCCACTGAATCGGTTCAGTACCAACCTGCCATACAGGGAGGATGCTCTCGGCACAGGGGGAAGGCTGTGGCTACCCTACTTCCCTCTTGAAAGTGCTGGGCTAAGCCGGAAAAGTTAAGCTGGGTAAAAAATAAACCAGCTCTGTACTCATCAAATCTCTTGCTGGGTAACCCCTGGGTAACCAGTGCTCCACCGCGGGAATGTCAGATTCTCCCATGCTGGCACAATAATACAGGGACTGTTCCTGAAGGTTAGGGAAGTTTATTTTTACAACTTTGCACAGTGCCTATAAATCTTTCAGCCACACAGCATCTGGTTCAGGCACTGCCCTTTGAATGGCTTTTCTGTTGGTGCAGTAATTAAAGGTATCCCAGGTGACACCTGATCCCTTATCAAGTTCATTAATTTAAGTGGAGTTATTTGGCTCTCTATTTTCTATACTTCATAATGTATTTCTAACCTTTAAAGTGACATAGGCAAGCACCAGATTGCAGAGGCGCTTATTAACAGCCTATTAAAATATTTTATGGCTTTTATTTTTATGTTGCCATAGGGAATCAAGTATTTTGCTGTTGTTGAACAGGCTCAGGATTTATGTTGCGAGAGCTTCACCACAGCCTAACACAGAACAGTGCTAGGAAATGAACTGGGAGAACAAACTCCCATTCAGCTCCCCATGTGCCATAAAGCTGTCACACACAGATGGCAGCAAGGGGCCCTCCAATGCAGGCCCTCGGTTTGGTTTGGTTTTTTAAATATAAACCGGTAAGACAAGATGCAAGGCTCTGGGACCATGCTGAGACCCAGCAAAGGCAGCGCACGTCTTGAGAAACAGATCTGTCTTTTCACCAACCATATAGACCCATGGAGGTAAGCTCAGAAAGGATCTTCCTGGTCACCTGTGAAATAACATGCTCTGTGGCTTTTTATTCCAGAGCTGCTGTACCATATCCACATTTTGCAGCTGAGGTCGAGCCAATGACTTTGGAAGAAGACCACGATCTTACCTAGAAGACCACTACAATTTTACCTAGAAGATGACTATGACCTTACCTAAAAGTTTTCCAGAGATTGCAAGCCCCTCACATCCCTAGGAAAGCTCCCTCAAAGGTGAATTCCCTTCCCTGTTAAAAATCTGCACCTTCTCCTAACTCAAGCATATCCGATATTGAGACAACACATGCCTTGGATTTAGAGACTTAACTTTGTCCTGTTTAGGTATTCAGAAATTACAATCAAGTCCTTTCTGAAATTCTTGTTTTGATAAACTTCCTAGGGTGAGCTTGGGGTCTGCCTGAGTTTATATTATGTTTCTCTTATTTTTTCATGCATAAAAAATAATTTGTAATGAAGCAACATGTTTGGAAGAGTATCAGCAACATACTTAAAAGTATTTTAATTGTTTGTGTTTTCAAAACATTTTAATGAAGTCAAATCAGGAATAGACACTCATCTGCCAAAGAATCTATAAAATATTTTATAATGACATTATAATTGATGTAACTGGTTGTATAAATTCCTGGCATTTTAAACAAAGATACTAGAGATTAGCACAAGCAAGATTATTCAGTAGGCAATTATTATTTCTGCTTCAATTATAAGGGCTTTGTTTTTTTTCCCCGCAGTTTTTAATTTAAATGTCATACTGCAAGGCTTTCTAGACAGATTTTGTGTGGGTAACCTTAGAAAGACTGTTCTCAGCGAGCAATCCCATAGCACTAATGCATGACAAGTAGTCATATTAATAAGTGTTATTAAATGTACCACTCCTTTAATGCCTCATCCAAGACCGAATGAAAGACTATCACACTGGGATCAGTTCTGGACATCCAGGAGGGACTGCTCCTCCAATTTCATCTTATAGCTGAGCGATGGCAGGAGAAACAGAGGCACACCGCTGAGCAGCCTGTCCGCAACCTGGGCAGGGACAGACACAGTGAATGAGCGCCCTGCGAGTCCCCGGGCTCACTGGGGTCTCCTGCATTTGTACGGGTTCCAGTCCCCTTTCCTCCCAACCCTCGAAGAAGAAGCTGCACCTAAGAAACTAAAACTTCACCCAAAGGACCATGCCAGGTCATGGCACACCAGCGGCACTGCCAGCCTTGCCTGCTGGGGAAGTTGTAAAGGGGGACTGACCTAGTTTAAATTAAAGCTGCATCTGCGAGAGCAGCTCAGCAGTAAGAACAACCACCTTGCTGAGAACTGCCTTGCAACCGTGCAATTCAGTCATCTCCTAATGAGCTCTCCTTGCACCTCTTCTCCAGCTCCCACCATGGAAAAGAGTGGAGAAGCAATTTCTAGCCGTGTTGCACAACGCTCTCCTTTCCTGGGCAGGCAGCAAAGTGCTGACTCCCAACAATTTCCTCCTCCTGAAGTTCATTAGATGGTTTTATTAATTAGCAGGCTCCCTACCTTATCACGCGCTGCACCTGAAATCCCACCTGTATTTTTGAAGTGAGTAATTAAAGCCAGAGGTACTTGAATACACAGGCACTGACGGAGACTAATATTCCATCAATACAATGAAGCAGCTTGCTAGACAGTAAGATGCCCAGGCTTGGACGTTAACCAAGTCCAAGGGCAAAACATGCCTTGGCTGGTATGCACATCCCCTGATGTGGGCACCCCCAGGAAAACCCCCGGTAACTTTGCTGAAACTAATCAGATTCTGGGGAGAATTTGGGTCATTAAATCTGTCAGGGGCCAAAACAAACAGAAAAAAGTAAGACTGCTGCCCTCAGACCACAGAGAAATAGTAATGATCAACAATTTCAACACCTTCCCTGTAGAGACTGCAATAATTAGCTGGTAATTATCGGGCATGATGTCCTTTTACGTAGAGGGACTAGGAGGTTAGCTGCTTCAAGGACAGCAAATGCAACTTTGCTTCCTTCATGCAAAGTTGAATGGAAAATGCCACCACTGGCAGCCAAACCCCAGTAAAGACAGTGCTTCATCATCAGCCACTTGTTGGTACCTATTAGAAACCACTCTGCAGTGCCATAACCCAACGCATTGCCCCTGGTTATCACTGCTGCAGACAGAGTTGGTTCTCCTGTACGCTCCTCAGAGAGGAATGGGGGCATAAAGAGCAAAAGACAAAAACAGGCAGAGAGAAAGAAAAAACCCAGCCACTTACTTGATATTGTCAAGACATCCAGATTCGGGTTTCAGTATGGCAGTATGATGAAACATTTTATAGAGAGCAATCCCAAGGAAGATGACATTAAGCTGCAATGGGGGGGAAGGAAAAAAAAAGAGTTACGTGACATGGCACAACATGATGGGGAGAAAGTCAGCTTCTTCTGCTGTAGGAAATTAGCTCTTGCTACAGTTTTATAGAGACTAAATCACAGAAAATTGCCAAGCATTTTGTAAGGTGAGCTGGCCTATAGACTGCAGGACTGGTGATGCCACAGCGTTACCAAAGCCACGGCGCTGTGTATGTTACTGATATGGGGCTGGTTCCAACATCAACTATAGCGCTTCAAATGAACTTATGGAAAATTGAAAATACTTGCTCTAATGGCTCTTCTGTGTCTGAGAGGTGTACAGTTGTGAAAAGTCACTCCAAACATCTTGCTTCACCGGCCCCATTGTAATGAAGCAAAAGCCCATCTTTTTCTGTAAATAGATCTTTTAAATGGGGGAGATGGGCAGGGAAATCATGACTGCTGAAGATGCTTAGCACAATGCAAAGTTGAAAAATAAAAAGGAAAAGGAGTTTGATTTGGTCTGTAAAAGATGCGATGGTGTTTCAATGCCTCAGTGTTAACAAGGCTGCCAATTCCTGGAAAGGAGTTCCCCCAAAAGTCCAGGCCAGGGTTTGAGACATAGTCAAAAGGGGAAGATATCTTTTTATGAATGAATTGCTTAAGGGGAAAAAAACCCAACAGTTGTAGCTGGTGGCGCGGCCCCCTCCCTGATGTGGAAGGCTGCTGAAACGGCCCCCAGTTGCAGGAGAAGGAGAAGCAGGGACAATGTCTGCATTGAAGTGAGAGCCTCTGGTTTGCTGTGCTAGCCAAACCGTAGTCTATTCAAAACAAAGGATGGTTTATTTAAGCCATATTGTAGCGATTAAAGTATAAGAAAACTCTAGCTGCCTCTAAAATTGGGTTCTCTACCTTTGTTGCTGTGTTAGCTGATATGCTGGCAATGTGCTAACCGTGAAGTCACACGAGCTTCAACTTCTGCCAGGGAGGAAAAATCCCCATCAAACCTCTCTTCCAGTTTGGACTTTATTTCATTCCCCCTACCCCAGATTTCCCTTTTTTTGCATGATCGATGCAAAGCTTCGCTCTGGAATTCAAAAGTTGGGGGGGCAGTGAGGGGCATCAAAATAGAATTTGGCACTTCTAGATGTCCAACGGTAGAAACCAAACTCTGCAAGCGCCCGCTCTGAAGCTCCCCAGCCCGTTTTGATCAAGTATTTTGCAATGCCAAGAGCCTCTTGTAATGAGGGTCTAATTGCTTGTGCCAGGTGGGGTCAAAGAAGAACATGCCTTTCTCAAATTAATCTGTGTAAATTAAAGATAAAGAGTAAATGGACAGCAAAAGTTTTATTTCTTGACCTGAGAGATGGAGTAGTTAATTAGGAGTTCTTACCATAATTATCAAGGTTGCCGGTCCTATAAAGCTCCAAATGAAGTAGGTGTCAAGTCGGAGCCAACATCTGTAATGAAACACAGGGGAGAGAAGGCATTCAAGGACTGCACCCAGGACATACATCAAGAGTGAGCGAGTGACAGAGAAGAATGTGAGCTGCAAAACACGCCGATGGGAGACAGGAAATATTACATTGCTTGTTCATTTAAATGCTGAATTATGTGCCCAATTTCTGACAGCGCTATTGATGGAGTAAGATAATTACCTCTGGAGGAAGCAGGGAGAAAATGGCACAAGGCCTAGTTGCTAAGGCTTTCTGCATCTGTTGGAAAAAAACCCTTAAAACTGTGGGTTTTTTTAAGGAAGGGGTCCGATGAGCATCCATGGAGCTGCTTCTTCGCTTTAAGCTCCTCTTCCCTCTCTGGCTCTGATGCAATGCAAGCTGTCTGTCAACTGTCAAGTGAGATGATGTTTCTCTGGCAAGCAGATCAGAGCAAATTGGGTGCAAATAGGAAGGACAATTTGGATAACAGAAGGCTGAGGTTTAATTAGGTTCAGCAACTTCCCCTTCAGAGCGTTTTATTTCCCTGAACCTCCGGAGTGTTTTGTTTCCACTAATGTTTCGAGGGTTGCATATGGTCTGCGCTATCACATGAAGTTGATTCATGGCCTAAAACTAAATTATTAATCACTTAATTTCAACCGCATTTAATACTCCCCACATTTTTTAAGGCCCCTGGGAAATTACATTTCCATTCCTAGTTCATTCTAGGCGACAGGAAGATAAAATGGAAGTGACTGGTTACAAGACAGACGAATATAAATTCCAAGAAAGTTTCGCATGATGTTTAAAATAATAATATCTTGTCGTGTTTGCAACACTGCAAATCACAGCTCCGTTTATATACAGAGGACTAAGAAAGCATAAAACCACTCTTATACTAAACATCCGATGGAATTTCATAATTAGGCAAGCGACAGGAACTGTATATATGAATTTATCACGGTGGAAGAGAGAGCAGTTCTCACAAATGACAGTTCTAGTGCACGTGCTGAATGTTTTTTCCCTTCCAATGGACTTTGCAACAAGCGGAAAGGGCTGTGCCAGCAGCCCCAGGGAAGAGATCAGCAGGACCCGCCTGCCGAGAGAATAAAACATGCCTTGAACCTCTACGACTGGGAGAAGCCAAGATATGAATAAATTCAAAGATGTAGATAAAGCTTCTCACATCCCTCCCTCACCATATAAATTTCAGGTCTCATCAGTGTTGAAGATGTATTGATATATATATGGTCATACCGCTATTTGTCACAAATTAAAATACCGTCACTTCCATGACTCCTGAACTGCTTCTGCAGCTGTTCATCCAAAATCTACGTGTGACAGCATCAAAATCTTAATGTGAGAGGCAAACAGAGGCTTTCAGAGCGATTGCAGGAAAATCTTGTTTCCTCTGCGGCTGCTGAAGTTCAAGGTGATTTAGATGCAGCTGGTAACGGAACAACACGAGTAACTAGAAACTATTTGAGTCTGATTTCCTATAGGAAAGGGTTTATGTGATCATGACATCTGTGTATCACCCATAATAACACCTGAAATGTCGCCCAATTGCAACTAGATTTGACAGAGGAATAGAGGTTTCAAGGATAATGAAGTCCCTGTAAAAAGTCCTCCCCCCAATCCCTGAAAAAAGACATCCGCAGAGCAGCAGCTCACACATTACACGGCATTTCAGACTTTATACCTACCCCATCCCATAGCAAAAACGTGTAACTAGTGCTTAAGCCTCAGCTGCCACATATAAATCAGGGAATATGCAGCCCCACAACTTTTTTCTACTGATAATAAGAGTGCTGGTGTGTGGGAGTGGACGCAGAGGGTTGGGTTTTTTTTTAAAATTAAAATGTTTTGAACTTTTTTGCCAGTTTAACATTCAAAACATCCCCCAGTCCCTGCTGCACAGGAGTCGGGAGCACAGTGTATTTTAATTACCAAGCAACTTGGTTTTCCTTCAGCACAAAGAGCGAGCTGGCTCTTGGAAAGCCCAGGGAAGAGGAAAGACATAAACCCTCTCTTTACTCCTTAAAGCATGATGGGCAGCCGCATGGTCACATCTGATGCAGCTGTTTTTGAATGCATATAGATTGGGACGCAGGGAAAATCGGTGAAAGCTGAAATACAGCACGAGGGAAAAGCTGTGCTGGGCTGAGCAAAGAAGCGTGAAGCAACCGGTTTCCTTTCCAGCTAGCCAAATGGATGAAATTTTCCAACCGTTCCCCTAAAAAATCTGCCTCTTCAGTTGTGGAGCACAATTCAGTGACAAGAGATGGATGCTGTGCATGGGAAACAGCTGAGGAGCCAGGTCCTGCCCTCAGGATAAGCTGGGGACAGGCATGGAGCAAAAGGTCCTCCCTCTTCCAACGAGAGATGGCTTCATCTAAGCAAGAGTACAGCTTGTGAAAACCAGAGAAGGCTTTTTTCCGCCTCTCTGCACACTTTAAAGAACGTGATGTCATTTTTTATTTGTTTGAATAGAAAAATCGCCTTTCTATGAAACTATGTATGACACGCAGTCTTGGGCGACTAAAAGGAAAGCTGCAGGACTGCCTCTAATCTGCAGAGGGACTTTAAAAAGTCATTTTTTTGTGGTCATCAGGAAGAGATGCAACTTTGAACCTGTTTAAGTCATACCTCATTAAAAATGCAAATTAAGACCAAAACAGCAAAACACAGGCATCCCGCCAATTGCGTTGAGGAGCTGTAAATTGCTAATCAGACAAGTACCACACTGAGCTTTTCTTCCCTTAAAAGACAAAAACCCACACGCACAATGAGCTGCATAAATGAGCTCCTCAAAACAAGGAAGCAATCAGGCAACTCACTTCCCAAAGTTGCTAATCTTGGGCTGCCGAGTTACTTCTGACCCCCCATGCGCAGCTGCACTGTGAACACGGACTTGCTGCATTAAAGTTTAGACTCCGCTGCCATTAAGCAAATGAGCTGCTTCAGGGCTCAGTACAAGGCAGAGCGGATTATCTGAAAGTCCGTGGATGTAGGGAATGCTGCTCAAAATCCCATTGCTTCTTCCAAGAGTCACACCAGCGTATTCAGTGCTCGTAACGAGCTCCGTGGCACTGCTTTCCTTTACTTTTTAATTTCCTCCTTTTCCACAGTGACAAGTCGCTATATTCTCCTAAAGCTTTTCCCAAGCAATAAAGACTACAAAGAGTTTACTCTATTTTCTGCATGAAGAGAAATCAAATACTAAACTATCCCTGGTGTGCATTAAATATAACCAATAAACAATCATTAGCTGCCATTGGACCATAAAATTTGAAGAGCCCTAAACATATCATGTTGTTCATGGGAGCTCAGCGGTTTGTTTCACGTGGCTATACAGCCTCCTTGTCTGGGTGCGGTAATGGGATATGTATGCACAAGCCATGCCTATCAAGACTGCAATATAGGTTCTGCTTAACACAGTCCAGCATCCACATTGCTCATGCTTCCTCCTCCAAATACCCGTCACGAAAACTGAAGAAAGTTCAGTGGAGCCACCCAAGACAGACTGTATTGTTAGAAGCTGTTTTCCGAGCAACATTAACATGCATAAAATGTCGGCGGCTGGCTGATGGACTTGGAGGCTGTGTACATACACCGGGCTTTCATTTTGCTTTCTGACAGCTGGATTGCTTACCATGTATATCCTGCTTTATAGCATACCAAAAGGTGGTGGTGGGGGGCAGAAACAATAGAGAGATTCCTGTCACAATGAATTTGATCACCAGTGGATGAATATACCTACAAGTATGTTTTCTAAAATATATTGAACCATTCAATAGCCGTTTTCCTGCGAGATTTGTAAGAGGCATTGATAGGAAACCCAGGACAGCATGAGAATATGGAATAGCTTCTTGCTGTTGATTTTGGACGCCCTGCTACTTGAGTGAGTCCTCTCAAAGGGAGGCTGCTAAAGTCTTAATCCAGCTTTTACTGAATTTTAGACACAAGTTATTTTCAAACACTAACAACAACTGCAAATGCTATTTTCCCCCTGCATTTCGCAGCATTGCCCACCATGATGCTTGAGATCAGATCCGGCCGGGAGATGGACGGATTTGGACAACATACAGGACAAGGCAAATGATGTAACTTTTTAAAACTGCAATCCCAGTATCTTCTTTTTTGCAGCAAAACTTGAGACGTGGCCATTTAAGACTCAGCAGCTGAAGACCTGGCCCATAAGAAATGGTCACTTGGAAGTTCACATGAGCATCACCAGAAACACTTTGGCAATGTTGGGGGACCACGCTATCTGCAGTGAGGTTTCCTGCTTTTCACCTTTATTTTAGAAATTACAATCAGAACAAGGTGAGATGCAACATTTCTGATTTATTTGGGGGAAAGGGCCAAACACGGCTCAGCTTGCTCACATGAATAGTCCCTGCTAGCCTGAATGGGATGATCTTTTAATGGAATTACTACTCTGCTGCTTGGTTATAAAGGCAAATTAATCTCCTAATATGAGTGGTTTGAACTGCTCTTAAACAAAAAAATAGTAAAAGGAAAAGGATCAATTCCAATCCTTGGAATAATTAAGTGTAAGAGAGTATCTTTACTGGGCAGCTACTCCAAAATGCCAATATGAATACTAGGACATGGGATGCTTCAGAAAACCACAAGCACCAAGTAATGAACAAATAAACAGAGAGAGGAACAAATGCCTGTTCCTGGCTATGTAATCTGGGCACGTGTTACAGGAGGGTTGGATTTAGAAAGGAAAATGAAATCAAGAAAACCTACATTGGGTGTCTAAGCAAATCATTCTGAGATGTATGAATGGTGGCACCAAATGCCAGGCAAAAAACAAGTAACACTAACAGCTCCATAAGTCCTGCTTAAACAAATGCAGTAAATAATGGAGGGAGGCAAGTAATATATTCCAGAGGATGTTTTACAAAACCCGGCAAAACCAAGCAACTTCTTGCAATCAAATTATGTATGCCTGGCATATAGTTCACTACAAATTCTAATCAGTTCTACCCTTCTAATAACATTATACAGAAAAATACATCATCATCCATCAACCAGATGGAGCATGATAGTTATACAAAACACATTGTATGTTTTTTATTTTCCACTATGACAACGTGATAAAATTGTGCACTCTGGAATTAGAGATTATAAATAAATATTTTAGGCTCTGCAAATCCCTGTAAATATTTATTTGCAAAATATTATATATACATGTTTAATCATTAAAAATACTACTTGATGCTGTGGGGACGGAGAGAGATTTTACCGGCACAGACATAGGACTGCTACCTCCTCAACACAAAGATAGCAAAGTTTTGTTGTTTGCCTCCAGCGAATTTCAGCCAAACTTTCTGCCTGTACCTCCCATGCCATGGAAACATTTGGGCACCCAAGACCTGTTGGGAAAAGGCAGCGTATCCCATGGAATATGCTTATTTTGCTGTGCTTCAGAAAGGTCCATATATTCCTTTAACTGGAACGGAAACATTTCAGCAATGCAAAGCTGCCATGGTGCCTTATGGGAGCTGTGGTTAGGTGCCGTATATTCCCACTCTCTACAGTCAGCCTGCTGCATGCCGCTATCTCCCACAACTTATATTGGTACTCCGGTTGTCCCTACAGAGCACCACGAGGGACTTTGCAGAGATGAGGGCGGATGCAAATCAACTGCTGTCTCACATCCAAAGCGATACCCTGGGCTTGGGGATGTCCTTTTACTACAAGGGAACAAAGTAAGACATTTTCAACACCAAACAGTTATAGAGCACTCTTAGAAAATGCAGTTGGCGCTAGCTTTCGTCGCATACTAGCTGCAATGCTGGGTTTTCTTGGTAGGCAGTCCAAAATATTGAGATAGAAGTCAAAAGGATTGCTCTGGTGCTACAAGCCCTGCGACGGTAATGCTGCAGAAGTCATAGGGTGAACAGCCTGGAAGGCAGCCACTAAAACACCAGACTGAACCAGAATGGTGGGGACACAGCTCCGGCGATGACAGATGTGCGGGAGCATCTCAGCTGGCTTTCCAGGGACCTGGACTCACGGCCCTTTGGCTGTAACATGTTTGAGGCTCAACATGTCCCATGTAGGCCACTGTGAAGAGATAGGTCCTCTGTAGAAACACCACAGTAAGAATAAATTCGTCTAAAGGGACAAGGCAGAATGTTTCAATACTGATTCAATGGGGGCTTACATATCGCTCAAGAGGGGATGTGAACAGAAGAGTTGGTTGGGACAGAAAGCAGGTAGCAGCTGATAGAAAGAGTCTTCTCCAGAAACTGTAATCAGCTGTTGTGTTACTTTTTCTTTGCCCCCTAGGCCTGTCAAAGTCGGTCAAACTACTTTGGATAAATTGGTAGAGATCCTTGAAAACTTACTCCCTCCTACCCGTACTGGTGTGGGCCATTTCCTTTCCACAAAGTAAGACATTTATACAAATTCAGGTTGCTATTCTACTCATGGGAGGAACACAACGCAAATATCCAGATGGGATCCAAGCCCACCTGCTGGCATGGTAATGGATCATGAGCAGCTCCACTGCTCTACAGATTTGCTTCTGCAAGTCATCAGGTTCATGTATACCAATAAGGTTTCAGGCAAAAATTTTGCAGTTGAATTTAACAGAGTATCAACTGCTGCCATGGCCTGACCCGATCTATGCTAAAAAAGAGCGTTAAAACCGCCACCGGCTCATTGCTATTTATGCCTTCAGATTGAGCCCTTAACTCAGTTAAAATGACAGAGGAAAGGCAGCCTGACAAGGGAAAGCAAAAAAAAAAAAGTCAATAAAAACACATTGTTACTGCTATTGTAACAAAGCTGGCAAAGAAAATCAAAGGCTCGATTCTCCCTTTGTTTTCCATTAGACGGTGTTGCATGATCATCTAAACTGTACTTTGATACCAGCTTCAGCAATGTTGAAAACATTTAAGAATATTCATAATGATAAATGATGTAGCTGTTCCGATTTGCAAAGAGTCTAATGCACTCCACAGTCACCACATATTTTGCTTGCAGGCTCTGTTAATTCGATAGAATACTTAAAAAAGAGGAAGAAGAAAGCAGTGTTTCATCATCCAAATGAGAAATACTCTTTGGTTAGAGAAGAATGGTCTTGCTGATACAGTACCACACTGAGACTTGGGACAGCCACCTCTGCTGATGTTAAGCAATGATGTGACAAAATTTTCCCCGACTGACTTCTCTAAGAAAATACCTTTGCAAATCATTTCATAGTGTCCTGTTATCATCGCGGACTGTGTTGGAGACACAGAGATAAGGCAAGGCATGCCTCCTGGCTGAGCTCTGCCTGCACAAGCCTTCTTTGCCTGCCAGGTCTCTGGGCTCTTCCCTTTGTCGTCCCCACTCCCATCCCTCCTGACCAGGTCCAAGCAGTGCCAAGCCCCACTCACACTTTGTCCGTGCCATAGCTCCGGTAGTCCACAGCTGCTGATACGGCCACAATCAGCGCAGGCATGCCGTAGCCGACCAAATAGAAGTACTTCCTCCGGGAGTGTTCGCTCTCGAAAACCTCCACCAGCATGATGTAGAGCTGCACCCCCTCCAGGAACATCCAGGTGAAAGCTGCCAGGAAGAAGAAGTGCAGGAGGGCAGCAAAGACGGCACAGGCAATCTGCATGCGGATTGAAAAGAGCAAGGGAAGGTGTTTGTATCATGCCGAATCAATGCAACAGTCAGGATTACTCTTACTGGGATGTTTAATAAGAATGAGGAAGTTCTTATCTTCCCTTCTCCAAAGGAAGAACTTCTTTTTTGCTTGGAAAATGTGCGTGAACTATTTTAAAATAGACACATCTCTACATATATAAATTATATTCAAAGATATAAAGGTAGGTATGTACACAATCTGGCAAATAAACATACAATATAAATATATATAGATGTACATAGTATAAGCGCATTTTTACAACCTGCTTATTAAACACACACACACACGCATTATTTACAAACAATGCACATACAGCCTCTGAAGCCACAGCAGGCATCAACATTTGACTCCCAGTTAACAACCAGGGGCCCAAACCCGTGAGAACTCATGCATGGAATTAAGGCAGCGCTGGAATATATCTCACTGAATGGTCAAACATCCCACACGCACTGAGACGAGAGCCTATGGTGGGAGCAGAAAGTGTTCTGCCTCTTACCGGCTGGTCAGTCCGGTTGATGCCGATGAGGAAGAGGAGTTCTGCCACGAAGAGGCTGATGCACAAGTTCTTGTGAATTGTGTTGCGGTCGCTCTGCAGCCCACGGAAGAAGCAGAAGGTGAAGATGCAGATCAGGAGGCAGACCAGTGAGAGCAAGATGCCAACCCACGTGATAAAGTCCAGGAGCAGGTCATGGACTGCATCACTATGCTGGAGATAGATAAAACCAAAAAAATTCATCAATCGCATGCTGCATGACTTCTAATCCATTCCAGACACAGAGTGAGGTTGTCTGAGACCCTTCCCCAAACATCTGGCTCCACTCACCAAGCTGTGGCGCAAGGGACCAGTAGCAAAAAGACTAAATGGACCTAGACTTGAATCCTGCATCAAGAACGCTGCAACCTGAAACACAGACTCCACAGCATCTGGCAAGCTGCAGGTGCCCTGAGCAGACTGATACCCCAAAATATCCTAGAAACAACGATGCTGTTGTTGAAAATACCAAGATGTCAGAGCTAGTCTTGCGTGCAGCTCCATCTTTCGCAAACACGGCAAAGGACCGGACACACAGTATAAAGAACAATCGAACACTGTGATTCGAGTGTAAAAATGTTTCATGCTAACAACATCGTGGATATTACAACCACAAGCCCATTACAACCATTTACCACCAGTGAAAAAAGACTCTCTTTAAATGTTCACTGACGTATGAGCTTGGAGGCTTTGAACAGAAAGAGATCGCTTAAATATCTTGGGGTTTTTTTTCACCGGGGAAGGAGAAAGTTAGTTTGATTTTTCTTTTTCAAACCCAGGAACTGTATTTTAAAACTCCTGGGAAGTCAGACGGATCCCTGGAACACTACCCAGAAAAGAAACCAGACCTTTTTAACACGAATTTTCTTTTAAATTGTAACAGGAAAGTGATTTTAAGACAGCCTGGAAAGTGAGTGATTCCCTGTGATAAACTTGTAACATGGTTTTACCCCAAAGCCATGCAAACATGGCCATGGCAGTGGCAAAGTCAGGCAACCCAGCAACAACTTAGTAAAATGTAAATAAGAAATGAGAAATACATGGTGGTCACGAGATGGCTGCTCGGGGCTAAGTGGTTAGCGTCAATGAGCTGAGGGAAAGATTGGCTGGAAATCTCTGGGGGCTTTTCAAAAAGACCAGAGAGGCTTGAAACCTAGCTTTGTGGTCCACCAGGCTGTGTTATAAGTGGTATTCACATTCCCCTCTACTTCTGGCATTTTGATGACTTAGGCATTATGTAGGCTGGCAAATACAATAGTGTCACACTTCAAAAAGCCAGGACAAACTGGAAACATTTTCCTCCCCGTGGGATAAAAGCTTATGACAGATGGAGGGAAAAGGTGATTAATTTATCCATTTTCTTTGCCTGCTTGCCAATGATAAAGCCACATCAAATGTCAGGCCTTTCCTGATATACACTCTGCTATGTCAGCACCCGTGAGAAACAACTCAAACCTTTCAGCTCTTTGGCTTTATCAGCATGAGTGATAGGCATCAAATGATAATGAAAGATGGGGAGCGACTTTCCCCTCCATCTCTTCCATGCTGGAAGTTTTCTCTCCAGGGAGACATGGAGGTGGAGAGATGAGGGCCGCTTTCCCCAAATGCTCTTGCAGCTCTTCCTGAGTATTTCCAGTATCTAAGGAAATAGGGGTCACAAGTCCAACAGAGAGGCAGGAAATCATCGTGTGCTTACTGTAGATCATGACAGAAATGCCTATTGCAGCCAGCTCCTCCAGCAGCACCCAGAAAACTGAGAAGATGAAGCGCACGTTGTTTTCCTGGCGGCCATGCTTTGTTTTATCTCAGGTTCATTCCAGCTCATCCACCCCTCTTAACTCAGTGAAAAAAAATGTTAATGCAACCTTGCAAATCATTCTGTCTTTCGTCTGAGGCTGCTAGGGAACGGCAGGAGAACATCTCCCTGAACAACCCCACCAGCTCACCTGATCAGATAGCCCTGCCAGGCTGAAGTGACCAAGAGCTCTTGGGCTGGGTGAGTGGGGCAAGGCAGCTAATGTGGGCAGATGCAAGGAGAAAGAAACCAGGTAGACTTTAGCCAGATGCATCCAGCCCATCCAGATGCGGCCAATGACACAGATTCATCTATCCCAAGACAAAGTTAGCCTGGCACAGGGAAAGCTCTCCGAGTGCTTCTTCCCCTACATGAGACGAATTTCACAGGTCTCAGCTCCTGTACCTCTATCACAAAACCATAACTCTGCTGACTTCAAGACACAATGCAGGAATTAGGGGTGGTTTTGCTCCTGGAGAGGAATCCTGCCATCTAGGTTCATGGTCTTCCTCAGGGAAGGGCCGCTTGCCCACAAAGCTCACCATGCTTAGCAAGAAACGCAGACTTCATTATTGTCTGTATTATTATTATCACTCTCACTACTCTTCTTTCTAATATTAATGGTAATGATAATACTGATTTTATGTACATAACACCCATCCCTGGAGTGCTGGGAAACAACCATAAAACCAACTTCTCCATAATTACAACCTCCCTCCCCAAACTCAACAAACTCACATAAGAACAAACAAAAAGGAGTAATAACAATAAACTGGGAACCTCGGAGGAAAAAAATATGAATTTGTAGCTTTTCTAGTAAAGTCCAAGAGAAGAAGTGAGCTGGATTTCAAAGGCTGGGTGTGCTTTGTCCTGTTTGAGATGCCTAATTTCAGGTGCCACAGCAGAGCCGATGGGTCAGGGAGGAGTTGGTAAGGACTGGCATCCTTCTCATGGCAGTGCCAACTCCCCCCAGGCCAGGTACATCCAGAGCTTTTACATCAGCAAGTCCAACAAAAGGGAATTTGCCTTTTGCTGGAGATTGAAACTTGTAAAATACTGCGCTGCCACAGGCCATGAAGCAGAATAATACGGGAAAAGGAGGAATCGTGGTAATCACTCCTCAATGTCATGAGATTATTCTTGCCATCACCTGATCACTATGCGACAAATAAGGGAGAAACATATCCGGTTTACACAGTTGGTATATGGCGTTCCAGGGTTAAGTATGATAAATAGCACACCAAGATTTTGTATCTGGATCGCAGTCTCTGAGCCTGGTCCTTCAACTGCAGAGACATGCAAGAGCAGCAAACCTTCTCTTTACCCTGCCCAGCACTGTTCAAGCACTCCCTGACTTAGGATAAAATAGCTTTGACATATGTGCTAATGATATCCTTCCAGCATCCTGCAAGCCCTAGGGTCCCTAAGGCATGCAAAATACCTCTGAAACCACAGTGTATTGATAACAGTCAACTCTTGCTTCTCAATAATCTCCCCAAAAACCTGGGCAACTGGAAGAGCCCATGGGAGATACCAGACATCAGTCCAAGGGACAATTTCCTGACAGCATCAATCAAACACTTCCTTGCCCAAATGCACCATGGCTGTCAAGACCAGTGCTACATGGCCCAGCATGCAACTCACTGAGTTTTTTTACTACTAAGCTACGCTAGCTTTACAGGTAAGCTGATATGCAGATTATTTTCAGCATAGGAACGACTTACTGAGTAATTGAAAGAAATAAAATAATCCACTTCAGTGAAAGGGTTTCTATATTAAGTACGTTTTACATTTATGATTTAGGCATGAGCCTGACCCAAAGCCCAGTGACAGATTTCCCTGGCTTTGGAATAAAGCCCGGCTTTTGCTCCGGTGGGGCCAAGAGCGGCAGGAGTACAGCACCGATGAAAACCTGTGCAGGAGGAGTTACAGGAGCCCTGGTAGCAACCACAGCAGGGTGAGCAGGCAGCCTAGATATTATCCAGGCTGGAAAAATCAATGAGCAGCTCTGGCAGCGCCTGTACACCAAAGCTGAGCTAATAAAAACAAATCCCAGGGAATGTCAGCTTATGACAGAATGGCTCTCCCCGAGATGAACAGCCATTTCCTCCCTTATTAAAAACATCAGTAGAAGAAAACAGCAGCCAAACCGAGCTGCCAGCAGCAAAGGACACATTCCTTTGCCTAATCTGTCCCTCCAGGAATGGAAAGAGTAATATGTTTGGGGGTGGAGGAATAAGCAAGCAGTAAATAAAAACACAGTGTCATCAACTAGCTCAGATACGACCACTCGGTGCCCAGTGGGAGCTGGCAGTGTGCTGGGCTGGGCAGAGACCCAAGTGGGACAGGTTTGAACTCCTGTGCATTGCTGACGCTGCTCCTCGGATTTGTAGCTATCTGGGGCCGTGCGGGTTCCCTCTGCCCTTTTTCCCCCATCGCTGGTGTTGAGAGAGGATTACTGCTACGACCTGGCTGTAATGCTTTGTGGCTAAGTGCAAAGGGCTACTTAAGAAGCAAATGGTTTTGTAGATGTGCCAAAAGCATCAGCTGGGCTACATGGACCAGGAGGAAACCCGAAGGGGTCCCGCAGTGCGTCTGGGCCGGCTAATGGCATCGCCTGCCCTGGCTGTGCAGGCATGAGAGGTTTTAAGGGGTCTTTCCCCCCTCTGTGGCCAAGAGGGATATGTGCTGGGGGGATCCCACTGCTTTAGCACCCATCCTCTCCCTCTTCCTCAAGGATGCACTGAGGGAGGCAGGCAGCTCCACCCCACAGTGGACACGGCATCTACAGACCTGGTACATATCCCCTCTGTGCTCTGCAAAGGCGATGCTGTCAGGGGCACCATCAGGTCCTAACCCAGGAATAAAGAGAGCCTAATCCCCACCTGAAGCTCCTGCGCAACATCACTGTCTTCTGACGATGGCCATTTAAAATAAGGCTGAGATCCCCAAGCACTCCTGCAAGGTGGTTTAGCCACCTTTCCTCTCCTTGCCTTAGTCCTCAGAGCTGCCTTCATATTCTGCACGGGCCATGCAGACCATCTTCCTCCTCCTCTGCCTTCCTCGGCAAGATGAAGGCCTCCTAGCAGAACCCTTTCCCACAAACTTCTCCCCAAAATGCAACAGCCTTCCAGTGACTGCCAGAAGCAGCAGCCAGCGCAAGCCACAAAAACTCCCATGGCCAGAATAAAGCGATAAGGGGGCAGGTGTGCACAGAGAAATGGGTACAGACCTCACCTCGCCATGTGTTACAAACACTACCGTGGATATGGCGTGTGGCAAGAGCCCAGTGCTTCCATCGTACTGACTGACACCGCTGCACCTCAGATGCAGTTGAGGTGAGATTCAGTTGTGGAGAGGAGCGGATTAGAACAATAATTGCATCCATCGTCCTGCCCTCCCGTGCTGGCTGGATTTAGTAAAGCGGCACAGCTCTGCTTACTCATAAGGCATCTCCAACCTGAGAAATGAGCTATGGCGGCTGTGCCAAACTCAGTGTAGACATCTACCCAGCCAAGCTGCCGGCTTGTAATTTCAGTTCCTGGAAAAAATCTGGTCACAGCATAGTCAGCTTCTGCTGTTGCACCGATGGTCTTACCCAGCCCGGTGCCAGGAGACAGCTGGGACATGCTGTATTTTGAATTTTAAAATCTCATTGAAGACAAGCACATTTAATATCTTTTCTGCTTAATTAAAATAGTTCTTATTTAATAACATATTAGCATAAGTTACTTTTTGCAATGTGTAATATATCTTTTTTTTTGAGAATTAACCCCTTTGATGGTACAAAACGATTTGTCTTGGAAAATTCATTACATAGCGGTTTTAGTAATTTAATTCTGCAGTTAGGGTGTTTTTGCAATCCTGCACCCACTTCTGCTTTCATTCACTGCTGTTCAATCCCACAAGTGCTAATATATGGGATAAGCCAGCACTGCAATAACTTCAGCTTGCTCTTTATATCTGAAATGGCTGTATTGCTTTAGGCAATGGACCACTGCATTCCATTTAGACTTCATATATTTTTATTCCTTTCTCTCTTTAGCTTGCCTTACGCTTCCATTCCCCAAATAATTAGCATGGTGTAACGTGTTTGTGGTATAGAATAACAACTGAAAGCTTCCGACTAATTGCTACAGTTAAAACACCTTTCTTCCCTGCCCCCCCCCGCCCCTTGTTTTATTTATTTATTTATTTTTAAAAGAAGAGTAAGCTCTGGCATTCACTACATACTGATAGGCAACAATTATCTACACTGAGGTACCTTTGCTTATTCTGTTTTGGGTAGTTTTTTTAATTGCATTTTCCCACCAGCTCTGAACTTGTTTTCTGGCTGCATATTTTTGCCATGGTACATTTAAGATGCATCTGCTTATAATTAATATGATGCAACGCGCAAGCTTATATGAAAAACAGTTTGTAAATTTTGAATAATTCTGCAGCAATTACATAGGTAGAATGGCTTATTTAACTATGGGCTTTGTCCCATGGCATGGGACCCACCACGGTTTTACAGCATTTAAGGGTCATAACAAATATCCAACTGATTCAAACCATAGATAGATATTTAACACAGATCTCATCTATGTTAATCTCATAATTTAACAAAATATCTATAAGACTGTAATAATTTTCTCATAACACAGGCGAAATGAACTTCTTAGCTGATGAAAACAGTGATTTGTTTCCAGTCTTAAAATCTCTCTCCAAAGGGAGGTTCTCATTTTTCCTGGTAAATTGTCCAAAAGGGCAACGAATGCTGCAGTTCTGCAGGGTCATCCCTTGCCAGGAGGATGCATCAGCAAGGTCCAGCTCACAGGACATTACGGTCCTGCTGTCCTCTTCCCATGCTAGCTGGGGCTCTGACAGCAGCTGGAGGGGTACCTGCGGGTGCGGCTCCATCGCTCTTTCCAGCAGCTATGCATCCTGCCCATGTGCACAACAAGCTCTTGGTCTTGGGCACTGTTATTTACGCCACTGAAATATGTGGGCAAATAAGAAACTCTGGGCCTAACTAATTTTAACAGGTAGAAAGCACCTTCAAATTAAAATCTCCTCCTCTTAATTGGGTACTGTCCTGTTAAGACTGGAATTGATCCCAGCAACTTCTACTTTTGAAGCACACGAATAAATCCCTGCCGCCGTGGTCAGCCAATGTCATTTTCTGCCCCTTCGGACAAAGACATATTGCTGTTTCACGCTAGAGAGCCAGACGGCCATCAATCACCTCCTCAGCAGCGCTACCTTCCAGCTCCGCCTTGCCACATACGCTCTGCTAATAATTAAATCACAGCCCGTAACTCGCAGAGCAGCCACCGAGGTCTCCTCCGGAGAACACGCTCTTTCGCCATGCTACCAGGGAGGGAGATCATTCATGACCAGAAGTGACACTTGTCAAATTGGTGCTGGCTTTTGATTAAGGAGTAGGAGTCCGATGTCTGCTCCCCACGATGCCCGGTGTTCTGTCTCATTAGGTAGGCTGCTGTGGATACTCATTACACCAAAGGATGCTCCCTACAGATCCAAAAATCCGACAAACTGAAGTCAGTAAACTACAAATCTCAATTACAGGACAGAATTGTTTCTGTTGCAAAACTCCCAGAATATTATTAATTATTGTGTGTATGACAGTCCTCTTTAAGGATCCTAGTCACTGGCCAGAACACTGCTATAAGAGGTCCTGCACAAGCATGCAACATCCTTTCTCCAAGGATCATTCCACCTCCAAGAAGACTAAAAGGTCTTTGAGGCAAGGAATGCCTTTTTGTACAAGACACGAGACAACAAAATGGCTCAAAAGCATGCCTATGAGAGATGAATGCGAATCAATGAACAACAACAACCCCCATTTATTTTTAAACCTCCACCTTTCCAAACCAGCAGGTATTCTGCTGCCAAGACTTTAAAATCAACTCATTGCAACAGCATAAGGAATGTCATACAAGCCACCTCCCAGATCTGCCAAGAGCCACATGGCCAGCTCTAGCAGCAGACCGGAGCAGGATGGTGCTGCCAGGAAGAGCAAGGTGATGAGCAGCTGGAAGAAAGAGTTGCAGATGTTTGCAGGGTACACACCTGCCTTCGCCCTCAGACCAGGATGATTGCTAAAGCGGACATGCCAGGAAGCTGTCCGGTTGCATCACAGTCAACAAAGTGGAGCCAATTTGGCTCTTACAGCAATGATACTTTGGCTGCAGCCAAATGATAAAACATGACCTGAAAGTCTTGAGGGCACTCGTTAACACCCAGAAACACCCACCGGCTAATAGCACACTGGCTTGGCGCTCACGAAGCTTCCAGCTGTAGCTCTTTCCAACCTGTTGGCTGAGCATGGGTAAGCAACGGTCTCACATTCTCTTTCTGCAAGATGAGATAACACCAGTGCTACTAGTCTAATGAGGTTTGGGTGAAAAGCTGTGCAGACAAGGCTGACCTACTTGCAGTTTGGGAAGAGGCTCGTTCGGCGCTAGCCTGTATCTGCGCCATGCAGTAGGGATTGCCCTCATTCACATCAGTGGAGTGGAAAGCTATCTGCATTTCCCAGGTGCAACCTCTGACTTCAGTGACTCAGGTATATCTGTTAACTCCAGGCAGATGATAACGAGCCAAACACACATTTCTCTTGAAAATTCAAGCAGTTGTAGGAAACTGGCAAAAACCAGACTTGGACTGCAGAATGCCGTTAACCTGTAAACATGTGCTCTGAATAGGCCATTTCTTCAGATATCTCCCACGATAATGCCACAGCCATTTAATGGCATGTCTCCTGGACCAGTAGTGACTCCTGCAGAATACAATGGATATGTCATCCTGCAGCAGGAGCAGATCTATCCTGCCCCTCTCAGCTGGACTCAGTTGTTGTGGCAAATGTGCTGCCAGGCTCCCATTTCTTTTTTTGCAGAGCTTTGGTCATGCATGACGGTGCTTTAATATATATTTTTATTGTGGCTTTTCACATTCCTTTTCAGATTATCAAGTGAAACAAAAATATACAAAGGAGTGACACTGGAAGACTATTTGAGAAAATGTCTTTTAAAACCACAATAGCTTTTGCAGTTATGCAGCCATGGAAGTGGCTCTGAAATGTTCTGCCTGCATGGAAGATGCCAGATCCGTATCTAGCTCAGAGCCGTGGATTCTGCTGCAGTGCCAGGCACAAGGAATGGAGACACTGCAACACAGAAAATCACTAGGCCAAAATCCTTTGGGCATCAGGGCCTTCTCCTCCCCCTTCTACAGCAGCTGAGACTGTTCTCAACCAAAGACAGCCAAGACAGCTCAGGAAATGGAGGACCACCTCAACCATCCTCCTGTTCTTGAATAAAATCCCAAATGTGCACTTCACTCCCCAAGCCATTGCTACCATGAGGAACGCCTACTTTCAGGAGTAACTTCTTTAGCTCCTGTGGGGATAGTCATGTGGGAAGCCAGAATTACACCATGGACCTAAATGCAGGCAAGGGAACTAGCTGATCATGTACTGGCCTCTCGTAGATATACAGTCTATGCAGGATGGTATAAGGAGCTTCCCTTTTATGTGTAGCTTGCTGCCACATAGTGAGACGCAGAGAATATATCTTTTTCCCCTAGTTAGAAGCTGGAAAATACTTTTGGGTCCACACATGCACCTTACACAAACATGTGCAGCAATGTACCTGCAGCTGCTGCAAGCAGGACACACAACTTGCACCCCATGAGGCAGGCTCTGCATGCTTTGTCCCACCACACAGGGTGCTCACTACTCCCTGGTGGCACAGTGAGGACTCCACAAGCAAGGACCCAGCCAGGAGATGTTCTGCACCAGTAAGCAAAGGATGTGTCAACAGCTAATTCTGTTCACTTGTCATGCTCAGCTCAGAGCTGCCCATGCCAGGAGCTCAAGACAGGCTTTGCATTGGTGTGACTATCTCCTGTTTCATCATATACATGGAAGGAAGATTTACACCAGATGGTTTCTACTCTTAGAGTTACTGTCACACAGCAATTCCCCTACTCAGCTCCATTTGCAGTAACAAAATGGTGTTATATTGGCCACTTTTCCTGCCCAGTGCATTGGCAGCCTGTGAATCTGCAATGCCTACCTTAACTTCCACATGTGCCATCAGGACAGCAAAGTTGGTTAGGTGATTGCAGGAGCATGTGGTGTGCGTCTTGTTAGTTGTCAGTAGGCGACATCCCTGGGTGGACCAATACCCTGTCATTGTACGCTTTGTATAGCTCCAGAACGAACAGTTCGGATTGAAATTTTCTTCTGACTGCTGCAGGGAAGAAATTAATAAATGCAATAAAAATGACAGGGTTTCAGAGATTTCTAAATGCACTATTTTTTTTTTCCAGAGGCACTTTGTAACTCTCACCCTTTTAATTTTGGATAAACAATCAGCAGTGGTTTATACGTCAAGTGTTACCAGAGAAAGTTAGATTGTTGCTGCTCTCTTTGCTAATGCAAACTTAGTTCTTTGTTCTTGATTAATTTCAGCCATAGACTAAATCCAGCTCTTCAAAATCAGATTGCTTCATTTGCATTGCAGAGCAGAGAAATTAATTGCTTTAAGCAATCAACTTTTGCAATGACTGTGCTTGGCTAACAGGAGGACTAGCTGTCCTCTTTCACTGTAATTCCACTTTCCTCTAATATCCCCTGCCACCATGATAAAATAATATTATGGTCTATTCTAATATATTGGTAGTTTTTAATTACAGAATGACGTGTGTCAGCAACTGAGCAATGGGCATCAGCTCAAAGGAGACTCTTTCTTTACCTTTATTAATGCAATGTAAAAGAGACATTCTCCATAAATAACACAAAGTGCAAAGGAACAAATGTATAATTCAAAATCTAATCAAGGACTGCTGGGGGCCTCACATCAGCCAACTTTTGCATCACTTTGTTTTAGAAATCTAAAAAAAACAGAAGCGCTTTTCGAACTCACTCACCTTGATGTGCTTGACAGTAAACACCACGGGATCAGCCAGGTAAACTTTATTGCTGAACTCCTTGTTTATTGCTGCCGTGATGACAGGGGAGTTGACAATGACGGAGTGATTAGTTGACATTGCTTCTGTTCCCAACTTCATGCTCGCGTTCTCCGTGGAGAGATAGGTTCCCAAGTTGTTGTACAGCACAAAAGCCACCCTGATTTCACCTAGAAGAGCAGTAAGAGGTTAGATATCCAGGTCAGCGCACTGGGTTTTTTAGATAACTAATCTCTTCTCTGAACCAACTTTAAAACTTCCCTGTGAAAATGTGAAAGGACCAAGATGTGGCATACAAAAACTCACCTCCTCCTGCCAATCCCAATGAGCACCATGAGGTGCAACAAGCGGTCTATGGATAAGAAGGGCAGAGCTGCCTCCCTCAAAACAAAGTTGTATAAGCAAACAGATCGGCGGAGGACAGACAGAGAAGGTGGGCTTATTTTTGGCATCAGTGGGTGTAACTGGCTCCAGAGAAAAGAGGCCAGGTGGCCCATTTCCCACCTGACATAACACTTTATGCTCCAGGCTACGCTTGGGAAACATGTTTCGTTCTGGCCTGTTGCACAGATAGAGTATAAAACTATAATTTAGTCCATTAATAAATTAAGACTACCTCAGAAAAGTGTGGGGACAAATCTGGGAGAAGGAATCCAAAACTTTCCAACACAACTCCACTCTCACATGAAGGGTAAAACAAAATTGCAGAGATTTCATTAAAAAATCAAGAAAATTTCATTTTCTTGACTTGCCAATCAGATACCCCCTCTTCCTCAAAAAAACACCATTAGGGAGCCTGCAGAAAACCCAGGCTACCAGCCAACTGTTTTTAACTGAAACCACCCAGTTTGCCTTCTGTTTTGCACATTATTTCACAGGCTATAAATAAGAATTGAATGTGATTTGTTTGCCTTGATATGTATTAGTTGTTGGAAGGTATTTTTTTGTTTCTATAGGAATCACCCCAGCTTCTGAGGAAGGTGAAGCACTGATGACTCCAAAGGTCCCTCCCAACCTAAATCCTTCTATGATAATTTTATTTCTAGCTCTTTGGTGACCTCTGGGCGGGTGCCAAGCTGGTGCAAATTGATGGGGCTCTCCTGATTTGACCAGAACTCCAGTGATACCATGCTTAGAAATACCCTTAGACTTCCCCTTCCTCACTGCCAAAACA